TCGTTTTTCCGTATATATACAGTAAGTATCTGAAGTTCAGGGTTCCAATCCCAATCTAGCCCCCCTGCATTTTTACACTCAAAACACTGTTGTTGATCATACATTTTATTTATTTCATCTTTATTATTTCTAAGAAAAAATCCCGCAAGGTATGGTTTTCTTTCCAGAAATGATTTATCAAAGATTAATTTAAACATATTTTATTGATATAATCAAATGGATTGGGCACAAGTTATAACAACTTATGGAAGCCCTCTCCTCAACTATAGTATTACATTGATAGTGATAGCGACATATGCCTATCAAAATAATTGTATGAAAACAAGGAACATAGAAGATTATTTTTTTTTAAAAAAGGGGGGTTTTGAAAGACAGAAGAGATCATAGAGATGAGTAGAGTATATTTTGAATGATACAAAAGGTTCATTCAAAGTATGAATATTTTTAAACTACTGCATGGCACGCACTAGCTTTATAGATACACATTCTTTTCACATCAACTATTCGTTTGTCCATATAAAACACATTCCTTAGAATCCTTCCTCGAGTCATTCCTGTTCCGTCTAGGTAACATATCAATGTGCCATGCAGCGGAATTATTTCAATTTAAAAAGAATATATATATATATATAAAATTTGCTGAACCAGTAACACTATTAATTATTCTATAGACCTACAGAGCAGAATGAGAGGTTTAGGAGAAGCTATCAAAGCTATAGCTAGTCAAGCTGGAAAACAGTTTCCAACACTTATTTACAGTCTGTGACTGGTTTGGTTTGGTTTTATTTTGTTTAACGTCCTATTAACATCTAAGGTTATATAAGGATGTGCCTCCATGTGTGTTGTGTAAGCGTGCAAGTGACTGTATGTATGCTAAAGACAGGGTATATGTATATGTGCAGTGGTACAGAATCATATTCCTTAACCACCAATCAAAAGAGTATCATTATTGAATTAAACAACCTGTATATAAAGACTGCCTGTCCTTAAGGGCCTACTTCTCTCCCACTGAAGTGATAGATTAAAGACAGCTAGGTTTCGGTAAAAAATTCTTACGCAAAACCACTGTTATCTAGTTGTACATAAATTCACAGCTACTCCGAAATACTATACAAATTGTCTACTGAACAACAAATGGAGTCAACAGAAATCCCCTGTAGGATAGGGAACATTGCGTGAACAAAAATCAATGGTACCAGACCAGCCACACACATGTATATAGGGTAACTGGATCCCCGACCTAAGCTTGTTCAAGTAAGTGGACGAAAAAGATATATCTTTCCTATATTCTACTACAGACATGGCAAAAGCATTTAGCAATCCTATCTTTGAGAATCAGTTGTGACTGGTCTTATGGGAAGTCATTAAAAAGAGTTCTAAAGGAGCAATCTGGACATGAGTTATATGGGGATTGCTCAAATCAGTGCTCAGGTCTGACTGTCATTTCTCATGGGACACGAGACATGAAATGTCAGTAGTTTCTATAGGCAGAATCCAGCACTAAGAATAACCTTGAATCTGCATACAGAATCAATATTGAATATGTTTTCCTATGATTATAAAAGGCAATAAAACATAGAATGTGTTAAAATAATCAGATTTTTGTGGTATTTTTTTCGACACAATGATGAGTCTAGATCTCATTACTAAACAAGAGGCCCATGGGCCTTAACGGTCACCTGATATACTTATACAGAGAGTTGATTTTTGTTTTTAACATGAACAGAAGTATTATTCAAAGTGACAAAAAACAATAAAACCACCTTATACAATATCTAGCATGCAGATTTAAGACTGAAAGTATTTGAAACTAGCACCTCTGATTCTAAACAAGGAAAATGAAGAAATTTTAGCACACAGACTCCATTGGTGCCCACCCTACAGCCCTTGGGGGTAGGGATGGCTCAAAATGTTCAAAGTATCAAACTGTGAACTTAGTGTTATAATTGCAATCAAGTAATCAACATGTAATATTCAAAGTATCATTTGCCATTATAAACCATAACAAAGTTCCCCCCCTCCTTCCCCAGGGGTAAATGTGAGACCCTAGGGTCATAAAATTCACAATTTTGGTAGAGCACATAAAAACCCTTCCATCTATGAAGAGTATTTGATTCTACCATATCTGGTCTTGAGAAGAAGATTTTGAAATTTCAGTCAATTCAACCCTTTTTGGCCCCACCCATCAGCCCCTGGGGGTCAGTCAGGGCTGATATGTGCATACTATCAAACTGCTACCCAATACTGATATAATGCTAACCTAAATTGAATTACTTCCAATGGCAATTAAACAAATGTTGGTCCAAAATGTGATTTCCCTATATAAACTATAGTAAAATTTACCCCCTCCCCATGGGGAAACGTGACACCCCAGGGTCAAGAAATTCCCAATTTTTGTAAAGCACCTTAAGACCCTTCCATCTATGAAGAGTATTTGATTCTACCATATCTGGATGTTGAGAAGAAGATTTTTGAAATTTTAGTCAATTTGACCCTTTTTGGAACCGCCCCTCAGGCCCCTGGGGGCTGGGGCCCATATAATTCACAATTTTAGTTGACCTTTGGCCATGGAAGGTTTCTGCAAAATTTCATTGAAATTGGTTCAGGGGTTTTGAAGAAGAAGTCGAAAATGTAAATTGTTTACGGACGCACGACGCCGGACAAAAGGCGATCGCAATAGGTCACTTGAGACTTTGTCTCAGGTGACCTAAAAACCTTATTATTGATGATCTTGTAGGAAAGACATGAGTCCTGCTGACTCAAATATCTGAAAATTTCTGATAATATTGTCTCCCTGTTAAAATACTAGCTGTTTCCTACCGACTCGGCTAGGGAGAATTTCTCTTTAGCTCATTTGGTAGAGCGTAAGACTAGTAAACCAGAGGTCCCGAGTTAGACTCCTTGCAGAGGCAGTGATAAAATAATGACCTCTGTTATTGAATTGGCGCCCACGTAGGGACTTGAGAGATATGACAAAAATACTCGGCGATACTTGCAAAATAATCGCTGTGACCCTTGGAAAGCTCCGAACGAGTTCTTTCCTGGAGGGGGAGTATGTCACCCAGGTAAAATACTAGCTGTTTCCTACCAACTCGGGATAATTTTTCTTTAGCTCATTATATAATTAGGTAGAGCGCAAGACTAGTAAACCAGAGGTCCCGGGTTTGACTTCTAGTGGCGGCATTAAAAAAATAATGACCTCTGTTACAATATCAGTATCTGTGATACACTGACACAGTCATTAACTAGAGGAAAGTCACTATTCTTTAAAAATTTCTGTGATCTGATAGTCAGAAAAATGTTCCAACTATTCGTTTAAAACCAGGAACGTACATGCACATTAAACAAGTATCATAGACAGAAGCACCAAACCCACACTATCCATGTCAGCAAGGGTAGCACCTATCTCCAGTGAAGAGTTCTTAATTAGGGGAGGTAAATCTCTACATATCACTTATATACATAAATATAAGTTACATCATATACAAGATAACACCAAACGCAAGCTATCCATGTCAGGGAGGGTTACTTATCTCATCGCCATTCAAACTTGAGATCAGCATGTGTATCTTAATTTTAGAGTTTGTTGGGTGTGTAGCTCTGGCGTTGTAGTGAATATATATACCGATAGGTATTCGAGTAGGTTCCCTCAATGTAGTATTAAGTGCTCTAGGGAGTATCAGTAAGGTTTCAATTTTTATGCTCACTCCTCGTGGAAAGATTAAATAATTCACCACAGTAACAGATTTGATGTTAGTTCACAGCTATTTCGAGACCGAGATGTTCCATATATAATTCACATGATGTCAAATATATACTAAATAACACATTATGTGTTTTTATATGTTCTTCAAGAGATTCTGAGTGATAACCTAGAAAATGCACTTCAGTCCAAGTTTCTCAAAAGAAAACATTCAATAATAATATAATTTGTAAAACTACTCTAAAGCGCTTTACAACATATGATGTAAGCTACGTACCTAGAAGGTATGTACTGCTAGAGATTATGTTTTATGATACCGCAGTGAAGTAATTATAATGTGGAATTGTATCCAAATCCCTTCTACCTTGGAAGTTCTGATTTGAAGTACAGTTAAAACTTGATAATATCAACAATATTTATTTAATTAATCACACTCTAATTATAAGTGCTCTAAAACAAGTAATGTATAATGTATAATGTAGTAGGGATGGTCAGGTTGAGGCTCCATTGTTGTCATCTGCTTCAATCATTTGGAACTAGCTAAGTTGTTTGGCTCTAGCAGACTTTTCTACAGAGGCTCCGAACATGGGAAAAATGATTGGGGAAACCTTTAGCCTGTTAAGGCAACATGATGTTTTATTGTCCTGTCATGTGACCAGTATCATCCAATCAGACATGCTGTTATAAAGATTAACTGAAATGTACATCTGATCTAACAGTTGATTAGGAATAGTTAATTAACGTTGTACACAGCCAATTAAGGCTAGTCTCTCCAGCCAATAAGGATATCCGGAAAGAGAACTGCAGCATGTCTATCCAAAGAGACATTCAATCTATTTTAAGTTGTCCCATTTAGCCGGTCATTTTATAATATGAGGCTTGAATATAAAGTAGAAGGATATATATAAGCTGTAGAATGTATTCCATGTTTTTAGAACAAGGGCTGGGGTGCCTTTTAATTTATCAATTGAAAGAAAGAAAAGATTGCCAATGTCATATTCAAATTAAGTGTTTTCTTAAAAAGTAAACATGTACATAAAGAAATTAAGAGTTTATCATATTTGTATTCATTTTTTTTAAAGAAACATAATTTTGTTGTTTGCTGAAATTGTTTAAGTTCAGAAATTCTGTGATTGAACCCTTTTTGCAGTTGCTTTACTATGCATGAAGCATAAGTACTGTATGTAGCTAGTTCATGGGCCAGCTTTACTTGTGTAATGTAAGGCTGCCTAACAACAAAGTGAAATTTAAATACTAAAGCCTTGTTTTATTGTAACACCTATGTTATCTCCCTTACCTAGACCGACACAGGAGACTCTCAGCCCTGACTTGCCGAGGTTTCTGCAAAAAGAAAAAAAAAACAGAATTATGAATTGAATAATTGGTCTGAAGTTTACAATACCAGGCAATATAAGCCAGTGGTCTAGCATCATTTTCTGATTCAAGATTTGACAAATTGTCTCCATAAAATTATTTGATTCATCCTTTGAAAGATTGCACAATGTTTCAAGTTCATCTTGTCCAAAACACAATCGTTTTCATTATTACTCGCTTAATCATCCAATAAATCTATCTGTTCAAAATCTAACATGTTGATATTGGTTCCATTATTCAATTAAAGAAGTTCTTGTCATTTCTGATTCTGTTTTTCTATCTCTAACTTCATAAATAGACAGTTAAAACTTTCATCATCGCTTGTCAAGTCTGTGCTCCCCGCCATTGTTTTTTAGTGATCACGTTGTTTGTCACATTTGTCTTGGATAACTCCAAGAACATCGTCATTTTTTATTGAAACACAAGAATTAATTAGCGTCCATTTCAAACAGGAAGTCCTCCTGCTAAAACATCTCCAATATTCACATTTGTCCTGGAAAAACTCCAAGAACACCATCATTTTTCACCGAAACATGACTAGTTAGTGTTCATTTTGAACAGGAAATCCTTCAGCTAAAAATTAAAGATCTCACACATTCTCACAGATACATTACTGTTACCATAGTGACAACAATAAACAAGCTTAAGTATGGGCATCGGTTTAAATAGTCATCCCAAAACGGCTGGTTTGGCTGGTTTGAGAACGAAAGGGTAATCAAATGCAAGCACACCTGGCCATCATGTGCTTCAGAAATCACACAGTGCAATTGTAATTATATATAATTACTAGGTCAAATACAGTATAAATACACAGATTTTGCTCATCTTTCAAATTAGCTTGAGTATTGCAATTATGCAATTGACCCCAAGTTTGTCATAATTCAATAAACTGTTAAGGAAGTTACTGTTTGGAAATGAAAATTAACAAAATTTTCTGCTTTTTCGAATACAACTATTACAAAACACCCAGAATGACATATAATCGACAGCTGGTGTTGCCTAAAAATATCTAGGTACAGTACATGTATATACCACAACATGTGTAGGAGAGGGAGTAGGAGAGAGAGTACTGGAGTATGGGAGACCTAACGGGACACCTTCTAGCTTCTCCCATTTGCAAGGTCACATCAGAACCTCATTAGCAGGGGCATGTGGCTTTAAGCTATGCCATTATGGAACACATATTTACAAACACATGTTTGCATTCTTTTCATAGATATAGAAGACCATCGGAACACTATACAAATAATACCACAATATTGGTATAATATTAGGAGCAAATACTGCATGATGGCCAAGCTTTAAAGCTTAAAACTGTAACAAATTGAGTCTTTCAATTGGAACATCGCACTTCGTTATTTTATCTACTTCATTATTGATTTTGTAATAGCTTGTCATAGCAGTCAATGGCACACATGCGGCTTCCATCAACAGCAGCTATCTACTTATACCTGTCTGCATACTGCAGACAAAATGTGTAAACATTTATATACTTTTAAGATACGAAAGTTAGAGTGAATTAGGTAGTTTTAAAGTAGCTCAGTTCATCAAGAGAATATGTTATAAATTTGTAAATAAACAATTAAAGATTAAAAATTCAGAATTTATAAAAAGGTATTTAGAAACCATTGTAGTATTATCTGTCAATGAAACTACAGAAACCATTGATTCTCCAAAGATTTTAGTTTTAACAGATTCAGACAAATAATGTATTCATTTTTTCATTTTATTTTTTAGGTCAAGATTTTAAGAAACAATATGTGATTTAGATTTGGTTTTGATACTTATAATACCTACCTATGAAATAGTATAGAGAGGTGTTATAAAGATGATTAAGACTTTTCAGCACGTTTAAGTGCATTCGAGTAAACAGTGATAAAACTGCATACATGTCAGTCCCAAGTCATATATATATCTATATATATTCTCATAGAACTTTGATTGGTTTTTAGCAATACAGTTGAAAAAGGATCCATGAAAATAAATTGTAGATTGATAACTGGTGAAATGAAATTGCTAGGGTTGGAAGTAAAATCTAGGGTCACTTGGGGTAGGGTACCTGAAATCGAAACACAGATTTTTTGTATTTGCTTCAGACACGATTTGATAGAAATATTGTCTAAAACAGATACAAGCTATTGAATATAAATATGTTCAAAAAACACAATTAACAGATTTTGATTCACACTTTCTCATGTCACTCTTACCTGTAGTTGACGAGGGAATTATTGTTGCTAATTTTCCGTGACATCCTGAGAACAGGGTATGTTGTTGTAAATTCCAACACACTTAAACAAGTGCCGAAACACTGGCACATGAATTGGTGTCACCTTCGCAAGCGACCAATGCCTTGATCTTGGAGTTCAAACCCAATAAAACACAAATTGGGCCTTCATTTAGAATTTGGCATTCATGACGTTGGAGAATCCAACAGCTACATCCTAGAGGTGTAATTATTCGTGGAAAACATCCAGAAAATGTGGTACTTGTCCAGGGGGATACCACTCTGTAGCCGTTGTTATGACAGTGATGACGTCTCTACAGTCGATGTAGTATTTTGGCTACCTGAAGGATATAGAGACAGCAGTAAGTTATTAGGCAATGTACACATAGTGCTATATAGTATTGTGATACAATGACGCGTCTATAGTTGATGGGGTAAATTGGCTACCTGAAGGAGAGAAAGTCGAGTTGGTATACAGTATAGTGCTATAGAAATGCTCTGTTTGATGTGTAAATCATTGCTCTGTAAGTATTGGAGTACAAGCACTTGGAGCAATTCCAATATCCACCGTATACTTTAGTGTCACATTGGTGCTCTGGGTGTATAGTGCAAATCTCTTGCATTTTAAGAGAAACTAAACTATCCATTCAGATTGCTTGCCCAATCTGTTCCTACACTCTCTTCTGAAGTAAGTGTCCTCTACGTTGGCTGTATATCTTATTGCAATCTCACCAGACTTGTTGTTTTAATACATTTAGACACTTATGCCTTACAGCTCAGGCCTGACAGATGTAAAGCTTTGTGTCCTATTATAAAACTACCTGATCAGCCTTACATAGATTCGGTCCATTATCACAGCTTTTGTTAATTGTCTCATTAACTATATATTTTATTGCTTTTCCCCCCAATAAAACATAGCAATTCTGCTAAAGTGGTATCTTGGGTAGAATTGTACCCAATTAGATAGAAAATCTGCTAGGCAGGGATTAATATAATCTTTCCCCACTTTGGGGGTAAGACACGTAAAATCTCAACCCTCTTTGTAATCTTCTTTAATGTCTGGTTCGAGGCTTGGCCGATGGCCACACATTGAAATAGATTACCAAGAGAGTTGAGATTTTTCTTCTTCCCATATTTGCTCATGAAAGACAAGAGCTCACCCACGAAAAGGTTAATATAATCTTTTCCCACCGTGGGGGTTAGACAGAAAAATCTCAACCCAAGGGTAAGATGTCAAAAAAAAAGTCAAGCCCGAGGCCTAAATGCCAAAGGCCAGACTTAAGAATCTTGCCCTGAGGGTTGAGATTTTTCTGTCTTAATTCCTAAAGTGGGTATTGATTATTTTTCTCCAAAATCAAATACAAGTGGTAATTTCTGGCAAATCAGAGATATCTCCAGTGATCAGCTAATGTTGAGGTGATGTCATCGCATTTTTGATGTACGCACTGACTTCAAATGATTGTCAGTTCAAACATAACATTTATTTCCAGGTTTTGCACAATAAACAAACTTCAAAACATAGAATAAAGAAGATTGGAGAATAAGTTAAGAACTTATCCTTATTCCTCTTCTCTGATAAGATTAATGTTGTTAAGACAGAGGGAAAAAAGACAGGGGAATTAATTAATCTCCCCGTCTCCACCCTGGGTTAAAACAGAAAATATTAAACTGTACCCCTCCAAACAACGCCATCTTTAGTCCATCATAAATTTTACAACATTTCATCCTATTGCAATACTTGAAATTTAAAATCTCAAGATTTGAAAAACCATGAAAATTACATTAAAACGCTATACCTCAAATCCATTCAAAGCACACTATAGTAAGTCAGTATTGAAGGACATGATTACAGTGTGCTGAGTGGAAATGTCATAGCTTTCACATGAATACAAACACGTTTTTTTCAAACATAATACCGCAGTAATGATAAAATTTGATATTTTCAAAAGTTTATGTTTTTAATTAATTCAATATGGCTGACTGATCTGATATCTATCAATTGGTGCATTATTTCCGTAAAATCGATGCGGAGCAGGGTTTGAAGTTGTGCAACATGCTGTGTTACATCTGACACCGTCTAAACCCAGCTGTCACATATGTTCTACAAGAAACATGAAATACATGTAAACATACAAGCACATGGCTGCATGACTATAATAAATGTCACGACTTTAATTGATGTAATTTGATTATTGCCCTTTTCTCTGGAATTTTTCTTCTGTGGTGCCTGCATTCAACTGAGGTATATATATATAGTTATTCACATACAGTGCCCAAATAAACACATGTAAAGTATTGTAGCGGAAGTAGACTTAGTTGATCGACGGCGACCTAAGGATTAGCTCAATTGGTAGAGTGTCCCTGCTTCGTCTATAGTTCGGAGAACTTTTCTTTGATGTAGGTCAAAGGTCAAAATGTAGGTCAGAGTGACCTTCTTTTGATACATGACACACCGCCTCACCAAGATGAACCCATACACCAAGTATGAAGTTCCAGTGACTAGTAGTGTAGAAGATAGAGCCCGGACAAACTTTTTCTTTGATGTAGGTCAAAGGTCAAAATGTAGGTCAGAATGACCTATTTTTGAAACATGACACACCGCCTCACCAAGGTGAACCCATACCCCAAGTACGAAGTTCCAGTGACAAGTAGTGTAGGAGATAGAGCCTGAAAAAGATAGCGGAAGGACAGCGGACATGGTTCCCGATGGGGGACTAAAAATCTGAATAAATGTAGTGAGAAAATCTATAACCAGATGTATTCGTTCGTGTATGATTGACACCTATGCATTATAAAACACTAGTACTAGTCTAGTTCAGACCTCTATCTTTTCTGCCTACTCTTAGTCTTTTTCACTGTTAAGTCTCCATAGGCATCACTATATAATAAACATACATGTATAACCATATTAGATGAACCCCAAACAAAACAAAAATAAAATCAACCTGGATAATTATCCCTACAAGCAGACGTTTTGTTTGCTTTGGCCTGCAGATCCAAACACACTGATATCAAAGGAAACACAGCTGGCAGTATTTTGTCAGTGTTTAATTAACTGTCAATACTGCAATATAGGGTATTTCATATATATGCTGTATTTACCAAAATAAGCACCCAGGTCACTTATACAAATAGCCGAAAGGCAGGCTGCTAAGTTATCAAGATAATTGAAAGTTATGACAATTTCACAAAAAAGGGTTTGCAGTTGCTACACTGTATCCAGGAAATTTTCGCCCTGTCAAACTTTTGCCATTCGCCCATGAAATCAATTTTTGGCCGGAGTTAATTTTTCCATTCACATTTAATTACTATGTATATTGTGCTGTTTACTTATATTCGTTGTAATGAAAAATTTGCCATTATTACAGAGGACAAAGAAGACAAGAAATTAAACTGCCACAAAAATTTCCCAGTAATTATTACACAGTATGTGCATAGGAGACCTTACTGTCTATTACCTGTAAATTCAACTGATTGTTAGGAGTAGTCAACATGTTTTGCAATCTGATTATTGTTATTCTATTTGAGTACTAGGCCAGGATTGAGGTACTAGTGAAATTTTGAAAAGTGGGAAGTGCACTAATTACAGCGAATACAGTACAGAAATCAAAAGAACTAACTCTATAATACAACATTTTCTCATTATGAATCAAGAAGAATTCTGGTGATGAAGGAAACATCTCAGAATTATGTATTCAATTTACCGGGTAATCACTATAATTAGGCCCAACTGGTTTTGCAAAATGCAGCATTCTTATGAAAATTTCCCACCAAAGTTTTTCTATAGCTAAATTTAACCTTGAGCAAACTCTGCAGCAACAGATTTTGATAACCACAGGCTTGTGTCAAACGAAGTGCGTCATCCTCTCTCCAAAACAATTCCCTCTCAATAATTAAACATTCCAACACAATAGTACACACAAAATGTTGGCAAAGAATCATCTACAGACACAAAAAGTAGCTAAAAACTATGAATTTTACATGTATTTTGGTTCTTACTATATGTACGCTATGTGCCAAATTTGCAGGCTCGAATATTCATGCTACATGTACATATCAATTTTAGGAAGCTGAGTGGCTATTTAATCATTAACCAGATTCAGGTACACCTGAGACTTGCCAAGATACAATTTTCATCGAAGAAGTTTTCTCATTAAAAGGTTGAAATACTTTGTCCTTGTTGCCTAATATTAATATCAAGATTGGAAAACTAATTATTACCCAGTTGCAACTTAATTTAGGTCTAAGAACATATTCAACGGAATTAGTCTAAGCTGATCTTCGGATATTTTTCTAATCCTTAAGGACCCCTGTCCCACTGCATTGTGGCATTTCTGTCATACAGTTACCTCCCCTTAGTTTGCGTTTTGATATAAATGTAGCCCTGTTGGGCCTGGACACTAATTCCGTTGACCAGACAACTCCATTGATAAGGGTGATAATAAAGCGATCTAAAGTCCAGGGTTCGCATCCCAGTCTAGTAGCCCTGCTGAAAATTTACAATCAGAACACTGTTGTTGATTTAATTTTGATTTTTTCATCAATTTTTTTTTTTTAAAGTCTGCAGGGTAACACTGTTGTTGATTTAATTTTGATTTTTTCATCATTTTTTTTTTTTTTAAAGTCTGCAGGGTATGGTTTTCTTTTAAGAGATAATTTGTCAAAGGTCATATTAAGTCATGCTGGTAGAAACAGATTTTGATACTTAGATACAGATTTTGATACTAAGATAGATATTGATACTAAGATATTGTTTTCGATACTTAGATACAGTTTTCGATACTTATAGATACATATTTCGATACTTATAGATACAGTTTTCGTATTTAGAGATACAGATTTCAATACTTAGATACAGATTTCGATACTTAGATACAGTTTTCGATACTTAGATACAGTTTTCGATACTTGGATAGTTTTTGGTTGTGGTTCTTATCAGGGATATTTAAGTACGTATACTGTTTCTGAACTATATATTTATTGACATATTGCAAAGACTTTTTACATTGTAATTTGAGAAAATGACGGTGAGGTTCATATTTCCCTGATGGTTTCATAACAGTTCTAGTGATGGATAGGGGATTGTATTTAAATGATGCTTGGGTTTTTACAGCGAGACCTGTGAGCGTTCAAGGTGCTGAACACGAGTTTTAGCCTGAAGTAGCATGGAGGGAAGCAATGACAAAAGCCATGAATACCAAATTACGGACACATTGCCAACATGTGTGTTTCTCCTGTACAGCAACATGGGTGGTAAATTCATTACAAGGAGTGTTTAGAACTTCACTAAATCAATAATGTGCACTATCCAAGTAAAAACATGGTTCTTGTTGTAAAAAGT